GGTCTCTCCGGACCGCAGGCCAACGCTCTAACCGCTGAGCCAAACTGGCCAGGGCAAGAAATATATATATATATATTATTCAGTCATAAAAAACAATGAAATCTTCTCATTTGTGACAACATGGATGGACCTTGAGGGTATTATGCTAACTGAAATAAATCAGATAGAGAAAGACAAATACCATATGATTTCTCTCATATGTGGAATCTAAAAATAAAACATTAAAACAAGCTCGTAGATACAGAGAACAGAGGGGTGGTTGTCAGAGGTGGGGGGGTGGAGGTTGGGAGAAATGGGTAAAGGGGGTCAAACAGTAAAAGTAAAAAATAAATATTGTGCATTACTGAGCAATAACAATAACAACAAAAAGAATCTAGCCCAAATAATAATAATAATAAATTAAGATGATCAAAAATTTAATTAAATAAAAGAAAGCTCAACTCCAGCCAATAGAATTAGAAAGACAAATAGTTATTAGTGGAACAGTGAAAATTCATGTTCTCTATTGGTGCTTAACCAAGCAAAGATCATTTGTCATGGAGCTAATTACTGAGGCATCAACTAAGCAGCTGACCTTTTTTGCTGTTTTTCAAGTTCCTGTTAGGTAGCTCCAGAGAGGGGCAACTTTTAGGCTCTTCTTCAACACTTTTTGCTGTTACTGAACTTCTTTGCTCATTAATTTAGCTTATGTCTTAGAGAATAAATTGGATAAACCATATTGGGAAGATTCTATTTATGAGGTGCTCCAGAGGGCTGGATTGTGGAATAAAGGGTCCCGTGCCCAACTACAGCCATTTTGAGTGCCTTCACAGCGGCACTGCTCAGCCAATGAGTAAGATCTCTATGCTGGGAAGGTACAGAGGGAAAAACAGGAGATGGGAGTTATTTAGACCCAGACTCCAGTCCTGACTTTGCCACCAACTTTCTGTATGACCTTGGACAATTTATTATTTCTTTCTGGGCCTCAGTTTCTCCATATGCATAATGAGGGGTTGGGGCTCTTTCTATTGTGAGATTTCTTTGAATACTGGCCAGGCTCATTATTCTCCAGATGTCCTCTTTCCACTCCAATTTTTACATTACTCCAGTAAAAACAATCACTACAGTTGGGAGTGGAGGGAGTTCATAATTTTGTTATTTTTAACTGTTAGTATTGACCCATCTAAGAACCTGTTAGACAAGTTGTAATGATTTGGCCCAAATAAAAGTATCTAAATAAGGACGCTTGATATGTATCATAAACCCATAGTGATTATTAGTATGACTATATAGTTCCTTTATGCATTTGATGAACATTTATTGGGTATTTATTTGCTTTGGGCACCAGTACTGCTGGTGAGAACACATAGACTTACTTTTCATTGTATTGATAAGACATATACATAAATACTTATAAGAATATGTAACATTTATACAATGCTTGCCTTAGTAGGAGAACCAAGCACTGTACCAAGTACTTTATAGGTATTGATTTCTGTAATCCTTCAACAACTCAGAAAACTAGGTACTAATCTTTTTCAGATGAGAAACTCAAGCTCAGAAAGGTCAAATAATTTGCCCAAAGTTACCTATTTAGTGGCAGAGCAGCGTTATTCCAGAACCCATGTGCTTAACCACCATGCCTCACTGCTTCCTAATTTGATTCAAGACAGTGTAAGTTAAGTGTTAGAAGTGCAAATCAAGGAATATATGGACCTAGCTAAGTGAGAATTTGCTTCTGGAAGCCCAGTAAGGGAAAAGTGTGGTCCTTGAAATTAGGCAGGCCTGGGGAAATTATTAATCTGTTAGCCTCAGTTGCCTCATCTATAAAATGGGGATGATAAGGAATAGGACTACTTCATAGGTGTGAGTATTAAATGAGTTAATACATGTAGGGTATTCATAACAGGGCTTGATACATGGCATATATTCAATAAATTTAAGCTATATCATCATCATCATCATCATCATCATCATCATCATCATCTATGCAAACAGGCAGAGAGGAATGGGCTGCAACAGGATTGCACTCTGAGGTGTCAGTGGCTGGATCTGCAGATTGAAAGTTAGGTTGTAAATTGCCAGAGGGAATCTCTTTTTGAGTTGGCTTTAAAGCAAGGTGAGCTCTGTGTAGAGCAGTGAAATGAAAGTCACTAGTGTCTCCTTACTCAAAAGAGTGGAACTTGATATTACCTTGGGGTAGGACATTGTCTCCCAAAGACCCTGATAAAATGAATACTATACCTGGGAGGCAAAACCTCAAACCACTATTACTCATTAACTTCCTGGATCAAGTGCATTCATCGGATTAGCTCCAACAGAGATTGGCAATTTTGGGGACTAAGACAGGGAAAGCGCAGCTCTAACCACTTAGCAATAGCCCATATACATTCTAGTAAAGTTTTAACTGCATATAAATGCTTCTATTAACCTATTATGGGGGACACTCATTTGGAGGTATATGGGCTTACTCAATTAGGGGCTGGAACATTATGGTTTCTAAAAATAACGCTACAAGGGTTCATTCCTATTGGCACAGTGGCTTCAGGTACATAATCTCATTTAATCCCATAGCAACACTGAAGTGGGGAAGGCAGAGATGATCATTCTCATGTGACCTGATAAATTTAGGTGATGACAGTATGGCCCTACAGCAGACAAGAGTGGAGACTAGAGGCCAGGTGTTTTTCCTCCTGGTGGGAAGACTCTTTCCAGGGAAATAGCACAGGGAAAATGATCTCAGATACCAATGCCTGCTGCTCACAGCCTGGGCCTTATGAATGAAGAAGTGCTCTGCTTCATATCTCTGCCTTTTTCCTACAGGACTGTAGCTAATGAGCCACAGGCTATTACAAGAACCCTATTTATTCCTTTCCCACTACCTTGATTTAGACAAAAGGGGTGTTTTTGAAATTTTTATTTATTCAAAATTATGTGTTGAGCACCATGTCCCAGGCACTGTTCTACATCTGGGGATACAGCTGTGAACAAAGCGGAGAGTTTACTCTTGTGGAGCTGACAATTACAGTGGAGACTAATCATAAATAAAATTGTGTATGGCCCAGCTGTGAGGGTCAGTGGATTGAGCCTTGTCCCATGAACTGAGAGGTCCCAGTTTGATTCCTGGTCAGGGCACATGCCCGGGTTACAGGCTTGATCCCCAGTAGGGGGCATGCAGGAGGCAGCCGATTAATGTTTCTCACATAGATGTTTCTATCTCTCTCTCTCCCTTCCTCTCTCTCTAAAAAAAAATCAATAAAAAACATATTTTAAAAATAAAATAAATTGGGTATGTACTGGATTGTTTTAACATTTCAAATATATTTTACACGTACCATGGTCTCTCACACCTTTTAAAAATATATATTTTTTATTATTGACAATGTTACAGATGGCCCCCATTCCCTCTTTTGCCTCTTCCACCCAGCTCCCACCCCACCGGAGGCCTTCACTACACTATTTTCTGTGTCCATGGGCTATGCAAACAAGTATATAAATTCTTTGGTTAATCTCTGATGGCACACATACACACTGTCCAATGTATTTTTTGTGTAAATCTGGACTTGCACTTCAAGCAAACTGCCTGGCTGGCTGAAATATGGAAACATCTTTCAATTTAGTCTTTCAACATGTGTTGAGTGCCACCTATGTGCTGAGTCCGATACTGGGGACTTCAGAGAGATGCAGAAGAATTAGAAGACAGGGTCCTATTTTAGAGGGTTCCTAGTCCCATGAATGAGGCAGTCTCTTCCCTTGGGAGCTCCCAGGCTGTAGGAGCTGACTGTAGTCTGGGAAGGCAAACAACTTCAGAGCCCACTTACAAAGGAATCCCAAGGACATACAAAATGAATCCAGTCTAGACTGTTTGGAGTTGGGTAAGGTGCCTTCCTCTCACAATGATGGGAAACAGGAAAAGGGACACCACAGGAGCTGCTGCATGTCCCAGCAATGAGGAGGGACCCAGGGATAGTCCCTCCTGGAGTATTTGTTATCCTGGGAAGTCTTCTGGATAAGATGTGATTTGAGGTGCTGCTGCAAGAATGAAGAACGTGGGGGGGGGGGGGGCGAGAGGAGGGCTGGATGGGCTGAGTTGGGGCATTCCAGGTAATTGGTCAATTAATCAGTCTTGGGCACTAGCCTGGGCAGTCATCCTCAATACAAACCCAGTTGAAGTTTCAGAGAAGACATAGGAGGGTCAGTGTGTGTGGGTCTTTGTCAAGCCCTTGCTGATACATTGGACGGAGTGGCAGGGAGAGGGTCAGAGACGTTTCCGGTGAGTTGGGGCAGCTTGGGCCGGGTCCTTCCCAGAGTGCCCAGGATACTTGACAGCTGTTAAGGAAGCGAGGTGAGAAAAGGTTAAATGTGCCCCTCCACCACCCCAAATTCTTCCTGTGTTTGAAACCTTTCAAGTCTCCCAAACCCTCTGGCCTCAGCAAGGCGGGCATTGTTAGGAAAGCGGTTGTGGGTTGTCGGAGCAGCCGTGCAGCCTTTGTTGTGGGGCCACTTCTAGGTTCCCTCTAGCACCTTGGCTGGGGTTGCAGAGTGGGTGCCGGGAGGGGGGCGGTGCGGGAGGCTCGCCCCCTTTCCCTCTTCCTGGCCCCCCCTCCAGCCGGATGACCACATGACCAAGTGGGCTCTCGGCCAATCCACAAGCTACAAAATGCAGCCCCTAGAGTGAGCAGGGAGCATTCTTGCTGGCAGCCTGGACCACGGGCAGCTGGAGCTGCGGGCCGAACAGCCAGCCACTTGGAGAGAGCTCGCTGCCATCCCCGGAGCCGCTGAAGCCAGCTTGGCGGCGCTGCCCGCTGGAAGAGAGGCCACAGGCGAGGGCAGGCTGCAAGCAGGCGAGACCCAAGCAGGCGAGACCGGCCAGCCTGCTGCGCGGCCCCGGAGCCCCGCGAGCTCCGCGCCCATCAGCCCGCACACTTCGTGGCTAGCGCCTTTCTTGGCCTGCGGACGCCTGACTTCTCCGCCTCCCCGCCTCCCGGCCAGGCCCGCGGCACAGCAACCGGAGGACCAGCATGAATCTGAGGCTCTGGGTGCAGGCGCTCCTGCTGCTCTGGCTCTCCCTGACTGCGGTGTGTGGAGGTGAGTGCTCCTTTGGCCGCTCGCCCACTGCCACTGTCGCTCTTTCTGCTCTCTACCTCCCAGAGCCAAGCACCCACCAGGCAGGAGTAGCCACGTGCTGGCCGCCTACTGACAGGGTGCCCCTGGCCGGGGACCGGCTGGCTGCGGCCTCGGGCATCACTCGACCAGCCAGCGCTTTGCTCCTTCGGTTGCCACTCAGTCCTAGGAGCTCAGGGCCTCAGGCGTGTGTGTCCCGTGCTCCACATCCCACGTGGTGGAGGGTGGCGGGGGCGGGGGACATGTCCCGCTCCCCTCGTGGGTCAGTAAAGGGAACTGACCTGAGCCCGGTGGGTGGGGCTCCCTCTTTGGAGGTTTTCTGCACCCTGGAGGTTAGGAACCGCCGGTTCATCTGGTCTGAGGGCGCAGGCCACTGGAGATGATGTGCCAAGAAGCAGACGTGACTCTGTTGCATAGGCAGGACTGGACAGGGCTGAGGAGTGGAGCCCGGCTGTTGCTCCTTTCAGCCTGAATGTGAGCAGAGGCAGCCTCCCCTGGCAAGCTGGGCAGGGCCGGGCCAGACTGGTCTTCTCCATCCTTACTCCAAGGTCCTGTTTGGTCTCTTCTGCTCCTGCACAGGAGGCCCACAGACTCTGTTCTTTAATATCTTGGTTCAGGCCTCCCCTTTGCCCCAGTAGGCATGTTTCACCTTAGCCCCCCTGTCTCCAGGCACCAAACCAGAAAACAGTGCCTAACCTGACACCTCCATGCAGCTCAGGGAGGGTGAATCTTTTTGCCCTCACTTGCACCGCATCCCCCACCTGGCATATTTGGCACTGGTTCTCCCTTGTCTTCTCCAAGCCCCAGCAGTCCCACCCTGGGCTGCCCGTCCTCTGTGTGTCAGTATGTCCTGAGACTGCCAGCTCCCACCTCCAGCTGCCATAGTCCTGTGATCTGGCTGTCACTGCTGCCTGCCTGGCACCACAGAAGGAAAGGCCAAGAGCAGGTGGACTAATGCCAGTGCCAGGGCTGCAGTCACAAGGAAGTGGGGGCAGAGGGAAGGAGAGGGCAGGACAGCAAGTTTCCTAGAGGAAGAGCATTGGGCTCCACTTGGTTCCAGACCCTCCAGAACAGGATAATGGCCTACAGCACAGGAACCTCTGAGGGGCCTCATGAGGCTCCATCTCTCTTTCGTTGTAGGCCTCCTCCTTTATTTGCTCTTGTCTTATGGTGCTGGCCTGGCCCTGGGAGCATTGCCTAGCTTCTCAGAAAGGAGCATTGGTTGGGTCTGGCATCACCTGCCTTCAGCTAGCTGTCTAGTGGTCTTCCTTTCCGGGCCCAAGCTCTGGGTAAGCCACCTCCTTGGTAAAAAGGGAGCAGTCTTTTTCCTCAGGAACTCCTATCAGGCAGGAAATGGTTGGAAGAGAGCAAAGGTATGAATGAAAGACATCACCTGGGCCTGTCCTCCACGAGCCTATCATCCAGTACAGTTAGCAAGACAAGACACCCACCTGACACCACTACTAATAAATAGTCCAAGGTGATGCCTTCAGGGAAGAAAGAATGGCTGCAGAGAGGGCATTCCAGACAAAGCTGGGTTTGCCTGATCTGCATACCTGGTGCTTCCCAGAGGCTATGGGGAAACCTTTGGCCAACTGACCACTTCTAGAACCCTTTTGGGAGCCAGCTGTTAGGGCAGTACTGGTAAAGAGGAGAGCTGGTTTCAAAGGGAGGAAACACTGTGTTTGGCCCAGACCCTACCACTTCTTGCTTTAATTCACCCTTCTTTGTTAGGCCATGTCTCTTCCATCTATCCTGATTTGGGTAAAATTGTTACCTTCACATTTTGCTTAAGCCTAGCACAGTAAACTTCCAAGGCTCCCACAGCCTTCTCCACCCTATGATCTCTCCTGGAGCTAAGGAAGGGCACCTCCATACAGTTGGCAACCAGCCAAGGATCCAGGTACCCATGTCCTGTTCCTCCTTCTGTCTTGGGTCAGAAACAGGAATCCCAGAACCACTTTGCCCTTGGCCCAGAGTCTCCAGTCAAAGTCCCAGGCCTGAAAACCATGCTTTTTCCATAACACACTCTGTCCTGAGTTGGAATGCCCCTACTCCACCCAGTATACACATACTCCACTGCTTCCTGACCTGGGATACACTTTGCTCTTCTGAGTCTGAGAGCTGTTGGGCCAGGGCCAAGTCGTCCTTGGTCTTTGTCTGAGTACCTCACTCCTTCTCCCCCCCACCCCCGGCCCCAGCTCAAGCCTGCAGCCACAATGATAGTATGAGAACACCTGCTGTACCCCTCCTGCAGGGGAATCATGACTCCTTCCCCAATTACTATATGTTAAGCATCTAGGTAACCTGAGTCAGGCCTCTTGGTGGCAAAAGACTAAAGCAATTGAAGTGGAGGGGCAGGCTGCCAGAACATAACGTGTCCAAGTGTGGCAAAACTGGCATGAAAAGATCACTCAGGGCACTGGGATGGAAGAGCTGGGCAGACAAAGAAGGCTTCATCCTGGAGACACATGCAGGACCTGAGTAGTGGAGGGGACATATCCAGCAGGGTCCCCACCAGAGCACTCATGTGGGCTTTTAAAGCAATCACAAGATAGGCTTGATAACAAGGGGAAAAACAAGTATGTCATTCCTGGTAAGGCTGGTGTGTTCCTGAAAAGTCACAAATACCTCTTTGTGCATTGGCAGGCCAAGAGTTCAGTCTACCTGAAAATCAAGCCCTGTTCATTGCTGACTGTGGTTGTCAGTGTAGAGATGCTGGGGTTTCATTGCTGATGGCACTTTGGAGAGCAGTGGCTCCAGTCCCCCTAGGCTGGAGATTCTTTGGAGGATTGCTCCATCCTCCCTTTAAGTAGCAAATGAGTTGGAAGAAACTATTTAAGTGTACTGATAATGGCCCCCATTTATAAAAGGGAATTCTTTTGTATAACCAGGACCTCTGCAATGATGAGAATTAACAGCCTCTAAAAGTCTCTTTGGACAAGATAAAGCCTGGGTTTCATGTGTCAGCTTATCTTAGGGTGAGCCAGACTCAGAATCAAAAGTAGGAAACAGGTGGGTGATGGGATCAGGGTTCGGGAAGAGCTGCAGACTTCCGGCTACAAGTACAGCGAGTCCCCCTCCCCCGCTCCCCCACCTGATGGGATGCAAGATGCCAGGGGCTTCTGAGTGGCTGCTCTCCAGGGCCTGGCTGAGCGCTCAATCAGCTCAGAGAGTTCTCTGTGGGCTTAGAGTCTAGACATCTCCTTGGTCAGAGTCTGAGGCACCATCCTCATTCCCCATCCTGTTTCTCTGCCTCCCTCCACCTCTTAGGACCCAATCACCCCTACCCTCCCTCCCACCAACACTCAGTCCTGGGTGTTGAGCATTTAGATATGATGCCCCCCTCCCATTCTGAACACCGTGTCTCTCTTCTCCATGCCTACTGTACCCCTAGAGCCATAGTCTGTGCCATTGCCCCATGCCCACCCCATTCCCAGTAATTGGTAGGGATGCAAGAACCAAAGTCTCACATTGTTAAGGCTCCTAGAGCCCTTCCCTGTGCCTGGCCATGCCTTCAGAATAGTCCTTCCTGCCCCAAGTATTTCTCTGGTACTGACGCCTCATCAGCATCATTCTTACCAGCCTCAGCAGGGAAGAAGCTGAAACAGCTGGGGTAGGGGGCTTAGTGAACGTCCTTCCCTTCTCCCTCTCCCAGGCCCCAGACCCTTTTCTAATGGCACCAAGAGGGTAGATAGCTCTATGACCAATGGAAGCAGCCTCCTGGCCCCTGTCCATGCCTACTGCCCTAAAGTGCAAATGTAATTTGTATTTTAATTCTCATTAGGTGATGGGTTTAGGGGAGGAGCTGACATACTAACCCATCTCTACCAGAAGTACAGAAGTGAGACTGGTAAACAGCCAGGTTCTAATGGGCCTGTGACTTTTTTCAGGGAAGGAGGGTGGCAGACTAGAGTGTGCATGTGTGTGCAGTGGGTGGGTGTGTCTAAGTAGAGAGCAGTGGGCCCCAGGAGCCTGGGCAGGGAGGGCCCTATGGACAAACCTCACTGACTTTTGGCCCAAGAGGAGGATAAACACCTGAAAATTGTATGCAAGTGGAGGAGGAATCACAAGAGCCAAGGAACCAAGGAAGGATGCTGAAGGCAGGGAGGAGGGAAAGGAGAAGTGGTCAGGGGCAGGACTAGGGGCTAGAAGCCAATGGGGTGGTGGTGGTTTTATATAAAAACTGTAAACTAGTGGTAGGGATTCTTGGATGGATGGAATTAGGGCTCAAGAGACAGGGATATAGCTAAAGGTGAATCTGATGATGTTGGGGAAGAGAGGCTAGGATTTTTGACCACTGCCTTAGAAGTCATATTTCTGCAGGCCAGCCCCGTACTAGGCATTGCACAAGCACCCTGCCAATCTGCCTCTTGCCCAGTACCATCTTGTCATCTCCTTGCTCTGCCTGCTTCCAGCCGCTGCAACCTCCATGAGAGCTCATATGCCTTCTCTCTCATCGAAACCAAGAACACCCAGCACCACTTGGAGTCTACTGCCAGGGCTTGGTCTGGCATCAGAAGGCTTCTACTCTAAGCCAAATGTAAACAGATGTAGAGCAGGGTCCAAGAGAGCAGAAGAGAAGCCAACTGAGATTGAAATGGCCAGAATTTATATCAGATACAGGATATGCATGTGACAAGAGGATGAACAGAGATAGGACATCTGGTAGGGAGGTGCCAATGGCAGCAGCCCAGCCCTCTCCTCATGCACAGACTTGCTGCTTCAGGGGACCATTCATTCATTCGTTCATATAATATTTACCAGCCTCTAAATCTGGTCACAGGCCGAGTAGAACCCAGCATAAGGCACACATAAGAGTCAGAGGACACTGCCCCCCAGCCACTCCCACAGGGTGGCCACAGGAGAAGTGAGCCCAGGAGATGCCTGCACACTGATGAGATACCATGGGTGAGGTATAAGATCTCCAGTACTCAAAAGTGGGCCACCACATAGTGAAAGACCTAGGAGCTCAATGACTATGTTCTGAATACTTCAGCAAAGAAAAAAAGAAAAGGGATCACAAAGCATATGTGACTCCCTCTGGATAACTTGAATCTACGTGGTGGAAGAGATTTATTTCACTGATAATGTTGTATTCTTAAAGTATTTTAAATGTATTGGTTGCAAGGGTGCAATGGGGGCTTTATTGCTTGCTGTGTCCAGCCAAGTACAGGCATAATGCCCCAAACGGCACCTGTCCAATTATGTTCTAAACAAAGAACAAATTTGTGCCTGACAGAAACATGACAGAACTGTCAAAAGAACACAAACTCAGCTCCATAAATTTCAAGATGTGAAGAGTGGGTTCCATTTGCCCCTAGGACAGTGTAAAAATTGCAAAATTTTCAATAGGAGACAAAACAAAGAGAAGCTATGATGAATGCCACCTCATGGAGAGATTGTTCCCTATCATGGGCCTGAGGTCTGCGGTCCCCTGCTCATTTGAATCATCCTTCCTGCTAACAGGCTTTCTTCTTGCAGGGCCCCTGCTGCAGCCTTCTGCTGGGAGGGAATTGGAGGAAGGCAATGTCCGCCACCTGGTGAAACCCAGAGGGTCGAGGAATGGACCAGGACCCTGGCAGGGAGGTCGAAGAAAATTCCGCCGCCAGCGGCCACGCCTCTCTCATAAGGGCCCCATGCCTTTCTGAAGCAGCTACTTGAGCCTCTGGTCAGTGGATGGTGTGGAAGGGCTGGGGGACAATCAGCCTGGAAGCTGGGTGACCCTGTGCTTATCACTGGTCAGACACCTGCCCTAAGAAGTCCTGGCACCACACACAACATAGGGGCATACAGAATATCCATCTCACCCGCCCTCCCATTTTGCAAAAGAGGAGACTGAGTCCTAGAGAGGGGCTTGACACTTGGGGGCCAATCTCCTAGGTCTCTAGGAGGTGGATGTTGGCTCTCCTTCACCCTGGGGTTGGGCAAACTGGCCTAGTTGGAGAGTTCTAGAAGTCTAAGGTGACCTTGATGAGCTGAGGAGGGGTGCCCCAGGGCATGCCAACAGGTATGCAGTGTGGATCCTCACCAAAGAGGAGGAGGAGAGAAGGGGGGTGGAGAGCCTTAGGGGTAGCAGGCAGAGAATTGGAAGAGTTGCCCAGAGCATGGGAAGGAGAGAAAAATCAAAGGTGGCAGCAGAGAGATCAGGGCCTAACTAAGCCTGTCCCTGAGGCCCGGCCTATTGACTCTTACTCTGTAGTTGGGACAGGGTGGCACCAACTCAGGGGCCTTGGGCTTTAGGTTCAGGGTTGTGCAGAGGGGACAGAATGAAGGCTGTCTCCTCTCCTTTCCTTGGGTGATTATTTTGACCTAGGACATGTCAATGATTTCTCTCTGGTCATTTTTGTCTTTTAGGACTGAAGGGGCCCTCAAGTACTTACCCCCTGCAATTCTCTCTACTCCATAGATTGGTCTGCTTTTCTGGAGCCCTAACATCAATTCGCCTCTCATCTTGCACTCGTCCTAGCTGCTGATGGTCCCAGCTCTTCTCACCTACCAGCCTCCCTGAATGACGTGGTCTTGCCCTAGTTTGAGGTTCTCTTTCTCTCCCAAGGATCCATTCAGTCCCTCTTCCTGGCCCTTCTCTGGACTGACTTTGAAGACCCAGCACTGGAAGTTTATCCTTCTTATCTCTGGACCTCCCCCTGTTCCAGTCTCCACCTCTCCCACCTATACCCCAACCCTTCATGCAGCCCTCCTTTCCTCAGGTTTGCTCTGGGGGTTGCATGGAAACACTTTCTTCCTCAATAGGTTTCAGCTGACCCCAGGCTTTGGACCCTTCAGCAGGCATCCAGAAGGAAGTAAAGAGATGAGCAATGAGAGACTCTAGTTAGAGGCCAGGGGACTTGGGATGCAGACAGGGTGCCTTGAGGGGGGCAATGGAGTGGGGGGGGTTGGTGCTACAGTGAAGGGGAGGAGTGTAGCATTGGAGAAAAGCTTCGTGGCCACTTCCTTGTCCCCATATTTGGCCTGGTTAAAGAAGAGGCAAAGGAGAAGGGCATGAAGTACCCTGTCGCTTCTCTCACCTTACTGTGTCTTCTAACACTCTCAACTCACTGATTCCTAACTTACTCTGCCCCCCTCACCAGCTAGTTCAAGCTCTTGCTCGGGAGGGGAGGATAATGGGCCTCAGGTGACTCTATATCCTCCCAGGAGCAAAAGCCAGGCAGAATAGTTTTTTGCCAAGAATCACAGAATATTCGAGCCAAAAGAAACCTTGCAGATCACTTAGCTCTGCCTCCTTATGCAAACTACTGCAAAGATAGAGGCCTAGACAGGGACAGTGGCCTGTTGAGGGTCACTGAAGAGCCAGAATGAGGACCTAGGTCTCCCAACTCCCACTTGATGATGTCCTCTTTCCTCTTAGTATCTTTTCAAAATGTATTAAGTGCCTTTTCTCGGGGTTGTGGCTGGGAGGGGAGAAGAAAGCAGACTGTGAACTGCCCCGTGGTGGCAGTGGGGTGGGGACAGAGCTACTCCCACCTCCTTGGCCTGCCTCTGCTGGTTCATTCCCCAACATGGGCTGAAAAATTCCTTAACTAGCCAGTCAACCCCATTCCTTCAGCACTCCTAGATCCCCCGTATTTTCATAGGGGAGCTCAGGCACTGAGACTACTGTTCCAACCCTAACACTGGTTTTCAGGAGCTTGGGAAGTGGCCTTAAGTAATTGGACTCAATCGCCTTCCCTTCATGTTGACTGAACCTACTTTCCCAGTGGCCTTCCCTTTGTGGGAGGGAGAGGGGGAGCAGAAGGAAGGGAGGAAGGAAGGGAAAGAGAGAAGGAAGAGTGGAAGTGTAAGTCTGAGTAGGTTTTCTTCTCAGAAGCCTCCTAGGAGGGAGAAAAGGGGAGACAAGAGCCTGATAGTCACCTATGTATGTTTGGGGGCAGGGGGAGTCAGGACCCCCGAGTCTCACAATAACCCCAATCTTGCCTACCCACCTCTCACCTTTACCTCTGCTGCTGCTAACGTTACTGTTGCTGCTGCTGCTGCTTTAAAGCCCACCTTGGGGAGCCTTGCTGGGCACTCACATCACCCCACACCCCTCTGACTCAGAGTAGGGGCTGGCCAGTGTCCAGAAAGCCTCTTCTGCCACTGATGCCCCCACCAGGGGTTGGACCTTCTTCCCCCTCCTCCCTCTCTGCATCTCCTGCCTCATCAGCTGCCCAGCCCCGTAAGGAAGGGGGCAAAAGGGGACAAGGGGGATGGCACAGGGCAGCAGAGGACAGTGGGGGTCTGGGAGGCTATCTTATTTAATGTGGTTGTTTATGATTCTTATACTAATTTATACAAAGATATTAAGACCCTTTTCATTAAAAAATTGTCCCCTTCCCCTAGTTGTGTTCATTGTGTTTGTAAAGATTGTTTTGTGTAAATATGTCTTTATAATAAAGAGTTAAAGATGACAATTTGCCCTTACTCATGGAGGTCATGTTCAGGAGAGACATTTCTGTCCCCTGAGATCCATGGTTGTCCCCATGCCCATATATTGCACATGCAAGGTAGTACGCCTGCAACCCAAATTGGTTCTAGGTCAAATGGCCACAAACCAATTTGCCACAAACTCACAAAAGGAATCTCTATGCTTAATGGCTGGTTGACATAAAATTCAGTCCACTTTGAAGTGTTATGGCATCTATTTGGGTGTCCTAAATTTTTTGCAGGTTATTTAAAGGATTTTTAGAAAGCAATTTACTTAATAACATTCTGGTTAAAGATAGGATTTCTACTAAAAATTGTTTTGTATCCTTGGTGGGTGTCTTCTAATTTTATGTACTTTTGAACACTTTTGGGACTTTTTAGCCAGTTTGCCTTTCTTGAAAAATGTTATGTTTCTTGCAATAAATACATTTGGTAATGATTTTGTATGTATCATTTTGTTTCATAAAGTAGAATTGCATGATGAATGAGATAGCCTGAAAAATAAAATGCAAGGAGTACAATACAATTCTGCTCCATCTGTCTCACTTCTTCATGCTTGTTGTCAAAATGGCAATACCTTGAAGAACAGAAAGGAACATTGGGAACATGCTAATTTGATTAATCAACTCCTTTGGTGCTCACAGGCATATAGGATGCAAGAAAGAGCTAAGAGTGATTTTTTTTAAAAAGATGCATTCGATAAACCTTGTAGGAAATGCTATAGATTTGACAAATATTTCGTGTTAGAAATATACAATTTTAAGAGAAGGTTTTCAATAAACTTGCTAAAAAGTCATAAAACTGCTCAATAGGAGATTAAATAGAAAAAGCCATCCACAAGTGTACAAAATGATCTCATCATCGACGAAATGCTGCAGATTGTGACAGAGTGATTTAAAAATGACATTATGTTGGAAGTGCCTCTTAAGAAAATTGGTACAAAATGACTTCTTTCAAAATTATTACTTTGACTTTTAGGCAAACTGGTTGTCAAAGTAATTGGTTTTAGGCAAGGAGGTTCTGGGTGGGCTGGCTTTATGCTGATTCATCTGTTACCTCCCTAATCAACCCCTAAGCTCTAGTTTCACATGAAACCAAGGAGAAGGGGGAGGTGGCAAGGCAGGACAACTTAATACTCATCCATAAGTGAGTAGCCCTTTAACAGTTTACAGTTCTCTTCAAAAAACAAACAAAACACAAAAACTTTAACTCATTTTATCATCCTAAGAACTGGGTAACAAAGACCACTATATCCATTTTACAAATCAGAAAACAGGCTCAGAAAAGTGAAGTGACTTGCCCAAAGGGTCACAGCCAGCAAAAGAATCTAGAATGTGAACCTCAAATTCTAGAATGCAAACTCTTTCTATGGTACTATAGAAGTTCCCCTAATTAGAGAGCAGACTTAAATAGAGGTATATTTGGTATTCTTGGTAAGTGCAATAGAAGTAGATGGCATGGTGTGGACTGGTGGGATCAGAGAAAGGCTAATGGAGGCTGACCAAGTAATATTGTCTCCTGAAGGCCCAATTGAATTTGGTTAAGTTGGTAGGAGGATGCTGGGCAGTGGAGGTGGGGACCTGAAGGGAAAGAAGCCACCAATATCCTCTGGGCACATGTAGTCAACTGGATGCTAGTGAGTAGGACTGAAAGTCTGAGCTTCTTGGGGCAGAAGGTGAAGGGAAAGAGAACTGGTGTCATGCCAAAAGAAGGCAGGACATATGGGTTACCACCCTTTGGCAATATCTTGACTTGACCAAATAAATACAATAGAATCAGACTAGGGGGTTGTTTTAGAAAATGCAGAGGAAAAAAAGGAACTCACTTAACTGTTTCTGGATCATAAGTCCTGGACCTAGAGGTTGAAGGAGTGGAGGCAGAGAACCTAAAAAAACAATGGTGCTTCAAATGCATCAGGAAATTAAGCGGCCTCTGAAATGACAGAAATTAGGGAAGCAGACTCAGACTACACACAGCTTCTCAGGCCCCCGGAGGTGGTGTAAAATGAGCCATAGCCACTTTGGAGCTTAACATTTCAGACTCTCCTACACGCCCTGACTGACTCGGTATCCCCAAATGGGACTGAGCTCTCTGCCACAAAGGGAACTATGGGACCTGGCCAGAGTGGCCTTTCTGAGACGCTTATATTATTCTATATTTCAGGCCTAAAGTTTATTTAACTGAAATTTCTTAATCCAAAATTTCTTTCTGGCAGAGTGAGCCTGTG